GAAAAGTCTCTTTAAAAAAATCTTCATTAATTTCCAAATATCTAATGTGTTTTTTAGTTAATTAGTTTTCTGCCAGGTTTTATTTCTGTTATATTTCTATTCTCACCAGAAAACTAGAATTTTACTTTTAAATTTGTGCCTATACATGGCAGTGATAAAGAGCAATTTAATCCAGCCACTTCAAAGAAATGTTTTTCCTTATATTAAGTCAGTTTTGTTTCTAGAGATCAGATGCTCCACCTTTCCTTTTGTTCTGAGAGAAAGCATGAGTAATAATTACTTATGAAAAAATATGGAATATAATATTAATGATTTTCCCCCAGTTTGTGGTATGACTTATCTTAACACAGTCCCTGAAGAGATAGGGATTTGTTCTTTGCTTTGAAACTGGAAATCTAATTAATTGGTATTGGATTTCTGGAGTGTAGGCAGATAGACAGGGGAACAGGCAGCGTGTCTCTCAAGCACCCACCCAGGAGGAAAAGGATAGTGGAAAGCACTAGCAGAGGCAGCACGGACAGTTTCTCAGCCAGGGTTTGGCATTCGTAAAATGGAGCTTTTAAAAGATCATGGCTATTTTATGCTTTTCAAAAATCTTCTGGAGAGTGAACAAGAAAAGGAGAGAATTGTGATTTTTATTGCTATTCTCTTAGGTCATATTCTTTATCTAAAAAGCCTAAGTTTAATGGTTAAGGCACAGAGGGAAAAGCTGTTCTTTGACTCTGGAAATTAAATTGTAGCATCCCTTTCTCCGATGTAATAATGAAATTTCATAAGGTTGTGATCATGTGAGGCTCTGGAGCTCGCTTTCTACTGGTGCCTTTACTGGAGGATATTTTTATAACAGAATATATTTTTATGGTTAATGTTAGATGCAAAATATAGAAAACTAAATATAGTTTGTGACCACTGAGAAAACTGCCTAATTTAAAAATATTACTCATGTGTGTTAGTATAGTAATGCTGTGCTTACAGAAATACAGATATATCTAAGAATTTAAGCTTATTTTTATCTGGTACATAAAAGTAGCAAGCTCATCACAGAAATGCTCTGTCAGGGTCCAGCACATGTCCAGTTCATATAATAGTTCTTGAAGGAGTCCTCCTCCTCCTCCCGCTTCCTCCTCATCTTGTCCCACCTTCTTCTACCTCTCCTGCCCCTCTTTCCTCCTCTCACTCTTTCCTCCTCCTCCTGCTCCCCTCCCTCTTCTGTTTCCTCTTCCTCTTTCCCTCCTTTTTCTACCTCTTCTTCCCTGCCCCTCCTCCTGCTTCTTTTTAATTTCAAGGCTCAACTGAACATTGGACAGAAGTGGTAATTACTTCCTGAAAAGTACCCAAATAACATGAATTTGGGGCCAATTTAATTTAGATTCCAGTTACATTGGTAAAACCATATTCCTGGGTATTTTCTATCTCCTTATACTATTGAATTTTTTCATTTCAGTATAGAAAAGTTGTCCAGGCACAAATTCAGTACAGAACTGACGAACAGATAATACCTTGTCTAGAATATACATATGTACAGCACTGAAAAGTGCTGCACCGAAAAGCCTGAGTCCTTACCCTTTGGTTTTGTTTCTTTAGATCATGAGCAATGAAAATTTCTTATTCTTTTGGCATCTGTGTAAATAAACATTCTCTTCCAACTTATCTATAGACCTTTTGAGTTTTCTCTTATGTCACTTGTTCCATTAATACAGTTTCAAATTTATTTTGTGAAATTACCTGTTTCATGTTCAGTCATCACCTGCTGGAGCTTGAGTTTAAGTGATCTTTCTGAAGGTATTCTTAAGTATTGCTTTGTAAGGCCAGGGTGAGGTTTCTGGTGGCCAGATGCTACCTGTCCCCTTTTCTCCATCCCTTCATATATCCCCCAGAATTCAGCCTGGTCACAGTATACATGAAACATGTTCAGCTCTGCCCAGCCATTTCTTTCTTCTTTGAACTTAAAGTTGGTTCCTGGGGCTTGAGAGATGGCTCAGCGGTTAAGAACACTTGTTCTTGCAGAAGACCCAGATTCAAATCCCAGCACCCACATGGCAGCTAACAACTGTCCGTAATTCCAGTTCCAGGAGATCCAACAGCCTCTTCTGTCCTCCACGGGCATTGCACGACATGGGTGTACTTACCTACATACAGGCATAACACTCGTACACATAAAATAAAAATAATAAATAAAAATTAAAAAAAATAAAGTTGGTTCCTTGCAGCCAGCCCTCTATTGGTCTGGTGCTGTTGAGTAGCACCTGTTTTGCCCTCTTGGCCAGTGAGAACTATTCTTGACACTTCCAACACTCACCTTCTCAGAGGCCACTGAACCATCCCACAAACACCATTCCACTCCCTCACGTGGGCTCAGACTGGACACTAGTGCTGCCTTTTCCTTTAGAAGATTTACCAGTTGAATATTAAAAGGGAAAAAACTATTTTGTAATTTTTTCAGAGTAATAATTATCTTTATCCAGGCTTTCCAGTAGTACACACATACTTTATCATATCTCAGTCGTCTCCTGTTTTAAATTTTAGGCCCTTGTATCTGATTGATAAATTATATCTGATTGATCCCTAATAAATAAAGTACTGTGCTGTTTTGGTCCTAAGTCTATGTATCATCTCACTGAAGTATAACTTGAGCATGTTGCTAGAACATGCAGGGCATCCACACATGAGATTGGTAAGTATTAGGGGAACCTGCCAGGTTGAGTTATTGTCAGGAAAGGTTTTTCTTGGTCTTGCGTTTTTTGTTTTGTTTTGGGGGTTTGTTTGGGGTTTTTTTGTGTGTGTGTGTGTGTGTGGTCTTTTTGAGACAGGATCTCCCTGTAGTCCCAGCTGTAGCCCCAGCTGGTCTGGAACTCATTATGTAGACCAGGCTTGCCTTGAACTCACAGAGATCCACCTGCCTCTGCCTCCCAAATGCAGGCAGAACCATGCCCTGCTAGTTTTTTTTAAAATTCTAAAAAGTATTAATAGATGAATCCAGTTCCTCAGAAAGATATCAGATCCTTGAGCTATATGTATCACATAAAGTCTAGTGTTTGCTTTAGAAGACTCACAAATGGACTATTAACACAAACATTGAGAAGATATATTTATTTGACCCTGTAAAGCAGCATTAATATAGATCCCACAGAAAACAATAATTCACTCCTACTGTGTTGTCAGAATCTCTTATGACAATAGCCTTAGATTTTCTCGCAGTCAGTGATACACATAGAGTTCCCTTTTAACGAGTGCCATTTTAGATCTAAGGGGCGGATCAAGAAAATGTAGAGTAGCACAAAGAAGCAGACAGTCTGCCTTTGATAAGCTCTGGGAAGAAAATACTGCATGGGAAACTCAGTGACAAGCAATAAATACAAACATTGGATGGTAGAAGTAGTTACATCTGTAAATAATTTTGTGGGGTTTTTTATTTTTTAATTAAATTTTTATTTATTTTGTGTATGCATGAGGGGGGTTCAGATGTGTGACAGTCAGAGAACAACTCGGGCAAGTGGGTTCTTCCTTTTCTACCACATGGGTCCCAGATGTCAAACTCTGGGTGGCAGTTACCTTCACCCACTGAATCATCTCATGGGCCCAACTTTGTAGTTTTTAAAATGTGTTTTACATATCACTCCATTTGTCTTTGACCCAAGCCATGATGTACAGGAAGCAGGCACAGGAACTGAGAGAGGCTTTTTCGTGGCTTGCTCTGAGCCATATTTCCACTAAATGTACTAGAACTTCAACTGCACAGGTTACCTTCTCTTTCCACTCATAAATACACAGCATGAAAGTTCTCCACTGGGAGTGGCAAAATTTGGAGGACCTGCGTAATTCTGTATTTATTTTCTAGGTTCTTCAAAATTATTTCCCCAAAAATTTACCAAGGTCATGAAAACGAAAGTTGATTATGACCGCTAAATTGAGTAACAGTTTGTTGAGTTGGACTTTTTTTTGCATTTAATTATAATGAAAACATTCAGTGTAAACAAGGATGTAATTTATTCAGTTACAAGTAATTGGCACATTATTTTGTGCTTTCCTAGCAGCTTGTGGCTGCGTATGTTACGCTTTGCACTTATTTTGGTATTCTTGAGGTAGCTAGTTTGCACATGTACTGATAACTATGCCTCTTCTCCTATGAGCATTTTCACAAAATAGTCTTGTCCTGATGGAGTGTCTTCAGCCCTGGGAGTTTCAGTCCAGGAGTGCTATCTGTCCTTACCTTTGCACGAGATCAGAGGCTGTTAACATGCTCTTGGTACATGGCAAAGGTGCCTCTTCCCTCTGCTTTTAGTTGTTAAGTCATGTGACCAAGTTAAGGACCAAACCTTCCTGGGCATTTGGGATGTGAGCATGCGCAGAAGAGAAACAGGAAGAGTCCAGGTTGAACTTGTAGAGTGTCAGGTGGGAGCCACCGCAGGTCAAGGCTCCTGTTATTTCTTTCTCAGATGTGTTTAAATATGGCTCTACTGAACTCCCAGCTACAGAGCCTCCTGCATCTTATTTTGGAGACTCTCTTGAATAGAAATTAATTGTGCCATAGTATACAGCAGTTTCATAGTCTGGGGCAGAGGGCGGGGACAGGACTGCCTGCTAGAGAATAGCATGAAACCTCTAAACTCAATTTCTCAGAAGCCTGAAAGGGGATAGAACCACAAGTTCTGGAGGCAAAAGGCAACTTCTGATTCCTGCTTCCAACTGTTTACCCCATTCAGGGCAGTGGGGGGTTTACTCTTACTCTGATCCCACTAGAGATTTTGTTTTTGTTTTTGTTTTTTTGATCTTTTTGAGACAGGGTGACCCTGTAGCCCCAGCTGGCCTGGGACTTGCTACATAAACCAGGCTAGCCTGAACTCCCAGAGTTCCACCTGCCTCTGCTGGGATTAAAGTTGTGTGCCACCATGCCCAGTTTACCAACTAAAAATTTTTTATAATCATTATATTGAAACATTTCTGTGTTACCCTGCCTTTGAAATAGCACCACCATTTAATTCTCACTCATTTTGTTGCAGAGAAAGCAGCAGCTGCCAACATAGATGAAGTGCAGAAGTCAGACGTCTCATCCACAGGGCAGGGTGTCATCGACAAAGATGCACTGGGGCCTATGATGCTCGAGGTAAGTAGCACACCTGGTTCTGCACTGTAAATGTTTTCGGTCTTCATGTGATTGTGTTTCATCTCAGGTAAATACAATTTGAGGAAAATTCATACTTTTGTGCTTACTAACATGTGTGTGTCCATGTGTGTTCTGGCTCTTGCTTCCAGCCTGTGTATGTTTGAAATGGACAAAACAGAATTAAATTAGATGAGAACACAGAGTGGCAGGTTTTTATTGCCAGTTGAGCACTCATTTTCAAAAGCTACGTTCACAAATCCAGTTAAGTTCTGTGGCCTATTTCAGTTTGAAATGCTCCCCTGATTTGTAAGTTTCATGTGTGCCTTGTACCTCTCTGGCCTTTATAAACATGTTAAAATTTGAGGCCCAGAGGCTTGTGCTTTACATGGCTGTTACTGCAAGCTAGCTTATTTATCTCACAAAAACAAAGATGGAGATAATAGGGAGAAGGAAGTCTGAAGGAAGCACGATGTAGTGCTGGTCTCACCAGCCTCTTCTTTATTAACTTTGGAAAGAAAGCCTCATGACCAGCTATGGTCTAGGGTTTGTGAAATCCAGCTTTCTTACTTTTATTAACCAGTACTAAACACAAAGTGTTTAGCTGTACCTCTTTCAAAATTAAAATTCAAGATGTAGGACCATGGCAAGATGAGAGCAGCATCAGTGAATAAAGAGAGAGAGAAACCCTAGGACACAGTTTCTGGCAGTTCTCAGGATAATTTGCTGTGCTGCTGCTGTGCTGAGCCTGAAGGACCACGTGGCCCAAAGCTGCAGCCCTGCCACGTAATCATCTTGCCTGTGCAGCGGCCACACAGGTAGAGGACTGAGGATTCTAAAACAAAGCCAGCCAGTGCTCTCTTGACCTTGTTGCCCCTTTCCTCAGTTGGTGTGTCAAATGATTTTTATTTTTAGAAAATCTAATTCTGTGCGAATCTACTGTATAAATTGGAGGCTGGAGATGGAAGAGAGACAGGAAAGATCGAAGATCACCTGACCCAGTCTTTGCATTTGGAAATAACAAAAGTTTTCCCCTTGAGTTGGGCCTGCTGACCAGAAGACTTTAAATGACCGAGATTGGGGGTTGGTGGGGGGGGTGCTTAACCTGATTTTCCATACTTATCAGGGCAGTAGATGGCCAGAGAGGCACAAAGAGGCACTTCCCTTCTGATTCTTAGAAGCAGGTAAGAGAAGGTTGCAACTTGGCAGCTATTTAGAAAGGGGGCAACTTCCTTTGGAAAAACTTTTGAATTGCTAGCAGGAAAATTAATCAGGAAATTTCCATATAGCTATGTTTATGCATTATGTCAGGATGGGAAATAACACTGGAAATTCCTAGGAAGAGGTTTGAGGCTTCTAAAAAGAAATAACCACACTGTGACTCAAGTCCCTTGAGAGCAAGCTCATTAATTATAGAAACTGGATTGCTAGATATCAGTGGCCCTGATCTCATAAAATCAAATCAAGATTTTTGCTGTTTTAAAATAATCTTCTGACAATTGGGTATACTGATCTGTGTAACATCTTAGTACTAAATGTATTCCTGAGGTAGTATCTGAATCTGGTGGTCTAGGGTTTAAATTTAAGCCTTTATCCCTGTGCACATATAATCATTTAAACAGGGAGACCATTTCTCATGGAGCTGTTCTAGACATAGATGCACACTCATGCTTGCATCATAGCATAGTGGTTGCTAGGCAACAGAACCAAATGTCAGCTTTTTTCATCAGAGCATATTATAGTGAGCTTTAAAAAAACACAAACAGTTTTATAAGATAAACCACCTTCATCTTTCAGTTTTATTAGGCCACAAATCAGCCTTCTTACCATGGTACGAAGCAGTAAGAAGCAACATGCTCTGTCGAAAGCGAATGCTAGGTAATATAACGATGAAAGCCTGAACGTGCCATGGAAGCAGGGAGTTGAAAGTGACACAAGGTGTATAACTAAGCATGTGATTGCTTTCCTGTGTCCCTGCAGTGCACACCTATATACACAGTGCTTGGATTGGTGCCAGCCACCATGCACAGCCACATACATATGTACATGCTGCTTTACCCTGCACATGGCTTATCCCGTTGAGAAAACCGGACGGAATAAGGAAAACCTAAAATCAAGTTGTGTTTTGGGGTTTTGTTTATTGTTTCACATAGCCCAGGCTGGTCTTGAACTCCGGCCTCTGAAGCACTGGATTATGGGTGTGTGCCACCACCCCCAATTTACTATTTTTTTTTTTTTTGGCAACTTCTCAATTATATGTTAGGATCAGTTTGGTTTGGGTTTTTTTTAATGTTTTGTTTGTTTGTTTGTTTGTTTTTGTTTTTTTTTTTTTGTCTTTTTTTGAGACAGGGTCTCCCTGTAAGCCCCAGCTGGCCTGGAACTTGCTATGTAGACCAGGCCAGCCATGAACTCACAGAGATCCACCTGCCTCTGCCTCCTGAATGCTAGGATTAAAGGCGTGTGCCACCATGCCCGGCTAGGATCAGTTTTTAGATTGAGTAAATACTTAGTTTCTGATGAAAATAGAATTAAAGATATTGCCCTCTAGAAGTAGCTGACAAAATAGAAACTTGTAAAATAATAAAGCAAAAACAATCTAGGGTGGAATAAAGCATTTCGGCCTATGTATATATCCTGTCACATGGGTCATGCATGCTACATGTTAAAATTACAATACATGTGTCCTAGGCATAGCTGGGCATGGTGGCGCACGCCTTTAATCCCAAGGCCAGCCTGGTCTACATAGTGAGTTCCAGGCCAGCTGGGACTACAGGGAGACCCTGTCTCAAAAAGACC